TGTATTAGACCCGTCGTCCATACAATTGTAAGTCAATGCTTACAAATAAATGGACGACGGGTCTAATACAAAAACCACGAAAAAAATGTCCCAAGTCAACCTATTTAAACGTAGTGACATGTAAAGAAATATGAAAAAGCTAAAACGTTGAATTTAAATTGTAATGTCATCGCAGTACTGTCTAATTTTGCTTGTTTCGCTGTCAGTCGAACAAACGAAGACTAAGGCGTGAATGACGCTCTGTATACGATTTTAACGCCCTATAAGTTCGGACACTTTTTAGCGCGGACCCGACGTCCATATAATTGTAAGTCAATGACTTGGAAGCATTTTTTAAACTTTTTGAAATATATTATTTTTCTATTTTGTCATAAATAACAATAATTACAATGCTTCTTAGTTGTGATACTTATATGAGTACCTACTTACGTGATTCGATGAATCCATATCTATAAACATAAACTAATCTCACACAAGAAATGTAGTTTACTGACGCAAAACGAGTAATAGATATCGTTGGGAGTTACAAATTTGACACCTGTGTATCTGTGTCTTGACTGTGATATCGTAGCTCTCAAACGAATGTACTGATCTGGGAAACTTTTTTAAATTGGAGGTTAATTTAATCGATGTGGTTCTTAGCTATATTTGATGACCTGTTAAGCTGTTTAAATAATTAATTTTCCAGTTTGTGTAGAGAACGAACCTTGTCGTACATGAGAATCTGCAAATGCAAATGCTACAAACGTGAAGCCCATGCCGAGTGTGGAGAGCGCTATAATATATTGCGCAGATAATTGCCATCAACGTAGTGTTATCAACTTAATTATTTACTTTTAAATTTGGTTTAAATATCAAAGCAATAATTAAATAAGAAATTGAGCAGATCCGCAACGAGCATATTCTGGTATGAGATTAGGTTACGTACGTAATACCCGTTCTTGCATCTACGGAATCTTCCGTAGACGATTAGTGAGAGTCGCTAAGTTGCTCGCGATTTGGACCATCAAACTTTCATTCTTTACTTTTCCATGTAATATCATCTCGTGTGCTACTTCATGGCCACTTCCTACTTCCATCCTTCTTTATTCGCGTGTCGTTCCATGGCTAATAAATTAGCCAGAAAAGAAAAGAACTTAAAATTTAACTGTTGTAAGTATATATATATATATATATATATATATATATATATATATATATATTATAATATTTCTCCTACATATTGATACCAAATTGTTTAAGTTGTACAAACCTTGTGAACGTTAAAAAGTAGTAAATGTAGTCGTTACATACAAGTTAGGCACTGTATGAAAACGATAGGAAAGTTCGATTTTCACGGTTGTGTCTTGGAGTTTTTATTTTAGAAAAATAATTTACATGCGAATGAACGACTATATTATTAGGTATATACTTAGAATATATTGTATATCTATAAATAGTAATTTAGTTGTTTAGTTTTTCTGTATAACTAAGTTTTTATCTTTTCTTATGTTCATTAGAACTCCTATTATTATATTCGTCGTTCAACGTTTCAACGTTTTAATCAACACTTGCCATCGTTTTTAGTTTTTAATTTGGCTTCTAAATCAAAATTTGCAATGGTAATACTCTGTTTAAAGTATGGCCAGAGCCCCTTTCGCTATGTGCAGGGTAGTGTTGAAAGAGACTCAGTCTTTTAAGGCCTTTTAAAAAACCTCGACTAATTTTTAACGCCTCGCGACTAGTCTAGTCTTAACCCTCAAGTCTTGAGGGTTAAAAGACTAGACTCGTCTTGTCTTGAGAAATAAGACTAAAACTGACGACTAATTCGAGTCGAAGTCTTTTAACCTTAAGAAGTTTAATTATAGGACTAAAACGACTGGCGATGGCGCCTTATAGCCTCGGGAGTCTTGAGCCGTATGGCGTGATTTTATTTCTACCCACAAGATATTTATTTTACGATTGATGGATAACGTTAACGTAGCTTTGTTCACAGAAGTCAGTTAATTAGATCGAACCAATTTAAGAATTTGTTTTTCGGGAATTATTTGTTTCTTTAATATAAAAATTAATAGATACAGTCAAAGTATTTTATCAAATTTTAGTGTCTGATACTGTCGTTTGACCATAATGCTGAATGAAACATACTATTTATGAACGTATTAAGTGGAGGTGCACTGTCTCTGCCTACCCCTGAATGGATGGTGACAGGCGAGATTTTTATGTATATATCTGTTCTATATATTACAGATAAATTGTGTCTCACTACTGTGTGCACGGGTTTCTTAAGAAGTTTAAACAAAAGTACCAGGACTTCATAATAAGAAAAGTAGTTACAGATCAATATTACACAAAATAAAAAAAAAACACGTTAGAACTGGCTTTCCATTGATTTAATTTACTCGCAGAGTATTGTATGCAATAATTATATAATTAGGTCTTAACTCTTTACGTATTGCTTAAATCACTCTTTGAATCCTAATTTTTATTATAAGTAAATAAACGTGATTATTTCCTACATACTACGTCTTTTTTATTTATAAACTTCGGGTTTAATAAGACATAAAATAGGTATCAGTCCATTGCAAACAACTCGAGTCGTTTAAGTCGTTCAAGTCGCGTTTAAGTCGTTTAAGTCTTTTAGCATAACGACTGAGTCTTATTCATAAAAACTCGAACCTCTAGTCTTAATTTTAGAGTCAAGTCCTGTAAAATGGAGTCAAGTCGTTATAAGACGCCTTAAAAGACTTGAGTCTCTTTCATCGGTAGTGCAGGGTGCACCGCATGCAGGCGAGGTTGGTATGGAGCTTTGGTAATTGGAATTTTCTATAGCAACCACTGACACACAATGACGCATAAGCCAAAAGATCTTTAGGTTAAAAAGATACTCTGTATTGTATATTACCTTCACCGCTCTGCCACTACGTGTACGCCAGCTGCCACGACTTCTTTACATAGATCACAGGTGCAGTCAGTACCTAATAATAGTGTTGAGCTATTCATACATAGGGCGCACTATAAGTTTCCGGAACTGGCCACTTATATA